GAGAGCTTTGCAGCTATGAGATGTATGTTTTTTGTGGATGCACTAAATAGTAGACGCAAACACGGGTTCTTTGTGTTGTTCGGTAAAGTATTTGTAACATTTTATGCACACATATGTGATTCGTTAAGCCAGACAGAATTTTTGAAGTATTTTTTTGTTTAAGCACTTGACAATCTCTAAAGAAAGTCACTATTTGCATACTCAGTTCGTATTAGTAACCACTGATACATTAATGGCACATCTACTTAAGTAAATTACCTTGTTATACACTCAAAGTTGATTAATTTAAACTCGGGAATATTTAAAATCAATCCCATGCCGCACATTGCAGTGTGCATCTACATTTGCAAAAATTGTAATTAGAGCTAAGGGAAAAGGAAAATACATTTTTAAATGGAAAATGCCCAGGAGACGAGGATTAGGCGAAGGAGCACTCGGGGCTTATCCCTTTCGCATTCGCATTCCCATTCTGTTTCTGTTTCTCATTCTCATTTTCATTCTGGGCCATGTGTGTTGACTTGGCCTTGGCAGCCAGCTAAGAACCCAGACCAAAAATGCCGTTGAGAAACTTTCGCCCTACTTACCCCCCCTCCCCCTCCTTTCTACACTTTCTCCTTACTTTCTTTAGCGCCGCTGCCACCCTTTTGCCCCGCAAAACACGCGACTCTCAACGATGGCGTTGAAAATAATTACACTTGCTGATTTATTGAGTGTCGTGCGGTGCGGCAGAGATGGAAATGGGAAAGTGGGGAAAGCGGGAAAAGGGGGAGTGGGGGAGTGGGGAGTGGGGTAAATGGAAATGGAGGAAATGCCTTGCACTGGCCGGATGTTGTTAATGAGGCACGACATTGGCTGGGTTCGCTCGGATTGGATTGCAACGGCCACGTCATATTGTAAGCTCCCAGTTCCAAGCTCCAAGGTTGAGTGGGGTCAAGTGATTAGACCCACTCCAGCGACCTGGCTTTGAGTAATTGTGTTCCCTTTTCGCGGTGGGGGGAAATGGGAAAAGGATCTGGGAGCCCCCCATCTCCCATCTGCCATTCCGCTTTCCCTTTTCCCTTTCCGGACTTTCCAATATCGGCGGGGAAATGCAAGCCACCCCAATTCGATTACAACTTGTGATGGCGGAGTTAAAATCTATTTATTCGTGTCGAGGGTTCGAGCAAATGTCAAGGAATTCTACAGGTTGGGTGTCCACACTCTTGCTGGCTGCCCAGTTAAAGGTTAAGGATGCACGGAACAAAACAGAGATTTAATTAGGTGTGCGGGAAAGTGCGGGAAAGAGGGGAAACTTATACAAACCCTAATTGTATAATTATAAAGTAAACAAATCAAGAAGATAAGATTAATTTTGTGTAACCTAAACAATTGTGTTTTGGAAAGAATATGAATAATATTAAAATTATAAAATATTTGTTGAATATTATTATATTAAATAAGCATAAATACCAACGAAAGAAATGAGCTTTGGAAAACAAAAGAAGAATTACATTTTAACATATTATTTCCATTTTTATTAATGCATTTTGTAATTAGTATAGAATTTCCCTTTGACTGTGATTTTGAATAGAAAAGGAATGGGAACTCATCTTAATCACTCAGTTTCTGTATTTCTTCGCTTACTGTTTACTTTTTTTTTTCCTGTGTAGGCCTTAGTTTCTCGGCACCCGAAATGTGGCGTCTTGATTTGCGGTGGGATTGTGGAAATGCGAATCGGTCGAAGGGAGGAGGCCTAACGATTCCGTGTTCCTGTCGCCGGGGTTCCAATGTGTGCCAACAATGATTAGGATGTAATAGACCAGACAGTGCCGAGTTGTGTGTGCGGTAAACGAAACGGGAGGTGTGTGTGTGTGTGTGTGTGTGGCCTCATCCGATGAAGGCCATGAGGAAGCGACACTCACCCGGATCCGGAATACGGAACATGGACCACGAACTACGGACTTTGGGAGTCCGGCTGTGCTTTATGGCTTGCGTGCATATTCAAAGGCATCGCTCAAGCGAAAGTGAAATTAATTACTCGACTTCAGCTGAGGCGAGCAGTTCGGTGGCAGGTTTGTTGGAGGCTTCTTCCTCCGACTGAGAGTCTCGTTTTGTTCCGCCTCGTTTGCGTCCAGTTGAACTGAGTTGAGTTGATTTGAGTTGGGTTGTTGTTGGTTTTGTTGTTGTTGCTCCTCCACTGGCGTAATTAATGAAAAAGGCCGAGACGACACACGTTCGCACAGCATTGCGCCATTGTGATGGCCTTGCGCCCCTCCATTTTTGGTTGTGTGCCAAAATTTGATTAGTGCAAACAGAGGACTCTTCTCTTTAAGATACAGCTACAGCTACAGATGCAGATACAGATACAGATTCAGCTTGAGCTTCAGTTTGAGACTCCGGATTCCCCCCCCTCCTCATTTTTCATTCACTTTCCACTCCGTTTTCCCGGCGCATTCGATTACTTTTGACCCCACTTTTGCCACCTTCTTCACCCGTTCGGAAACACTCGCCTCTCATTAGGCTACAAACGAGCCATCTTTTAATTATGGGCCATCGACTCCGGGCGGCTTTAATCAGCCCCGATTGGCAAATGGCAAATACAAAAGCGAAAATTGCAAAATGTGTAGAGGGACGAAAAGATGGCGAAAGTGGAAAGTGAAATGGGAGAAAGGGAGAGGGAGAGAAAGGGGGAGAAAGGGAGAACGGGTGAGAGACACAAAAACCTTTTGCTAATTTAATTAAATTACACCATTTTCGCTGTCGCTTTTTGTAGAATAATTGGCAATAAATTGATTAAAGAGTTAATTAAACATGCGGCCATGGCAGTGAGGAGTGGGCTTAAAGGTCCCTTCAACAAAGGGGGCGTGGCAGTGGGGGGATAAGGGGGCGTGGCCCGTTGGATAGATAATTGCACGGGCATAAAGTGCTCGACCCAACTTGGGGTGTTCGAGTTTGTTTAAAATGCAATCGAGGTGTGCAAGTATGTACACAGACAAACAAAAAAAACACACACACACACACACACACGTACGTTCACAAAAGCGGACCTCGTTAATTTAATATAAAAGAATGAACGGTGAAATTATCACTTCGCTGATAGAATTGGGTCGTAAACAACCATAAAAGAGTAATCAGATTAAAAGCCCTTTGCTTTCCCAGTACTTTAATAAAAAAGAAAGGGAATTAAGAGAACCGGAAAATGAAAATGAAATGTAATGTAATATCGGTAGCATTAAATTTAGTTTTAAGTCTTAGATGCAAACAAATTAAATACATTTAATTAACTACCCTTCTGTTAGCTTTGGTTATATAATTTAAATTTTATAATTTATCAAATTGAATTTACAATTTGACAATCAAATTGCTCATATTTTTCAGTCGTTAAAGGAAAGTGAATACCGTGAGTTTGTATTCAGAGAAAGGTGCAATAGGTTCATTAAAAATAACTATACTAATTAATGTATGTACATGCAAATGAAGTTAAAGGAAAAAAAAAAACAAAAATATTGGGTTGGCAAGAAAGTCATGTCGTTTTTTTAGTAATCGTTTTTAATCTAATTTATTTACGACTAATCGAGCACCAGGGTCACACCTATTAGTATCTTTTTAAAGCTTATAGTCTTAGGTACTATCGACGAAAATTTGGTAATTATTCGATAACATTTGTGGAAGCTATAGCAAATTAAACAAGGAGGACCAAAGTGAGCATTTTCGGCATATTTTGCTTTTTTACTTCCAAAAAGGAAAAAAAGCGGTCGAAGCTCTCAAAAAATTGTGCGAAATGTATGGTAAAGATGCCATGAGTGATCGCCAATGTCAGCGCTGGTTTGCCAAATTCAGGCTTGGAGATTTTGGAGTTAAAGACGCCCCACGTTCTGGTCGACCATCGGCCGTTTTTGACGAACAAATTCAGGTTTTGCTGGATGAAAACCGGCGTTATTCAACAGGGGAGATGTCAGAGAAGCTCAAAGTGTCGCATACAACGGTTGAAAACCATTTGAAGAAACTTGGCTACGTAAGCAAGCTCGATGTTTGGGTTCCGCATAACTTAAAGGAAATTCACCTAACTAAGCGTATCAACATCTGCTATTCTCTGCTGCAACGGATTAAAAACGATCCTTTTTTGAAGCGGATCATTACTGGCGACAAAAAGTGGGTTGTTTACAATAATGTCCAACGAAAAAGATCATGGAGCAAGAAAGATGACCCAGCCCAAGCCACATCAAAGGCCGATATCCATCAGAGGAAAGTTATGCTGTCTGTTTGGTGGAATTGGAAGGGTGTAGTGCACTTTGAGCTGCTGGGACGGAATGAAACCATCAATTCAGATGTGTACTGTCGCCAGCTATCCAATTTGGCGGAAACGATTAAAGAAAAGGAGCCGGCACTAGCTAATCGCAAGGGTATAGTCTTTCACCATGACAACGCTAGGCCCCACACATCTTTGGTCACTCGGCAAAAATTAACGGAGCTGAATTGGGAAGTGCTACCACATCCACCTTATAGTCCGGACTTAGCACCTTCAGATTTCCATTTGTTTCGCTCTCTTCAAAACTCTTTGAATGGTAAAAACTTTGATTCAGATGAGGCTGTCGAAAACCACTTGTCTCGATTCTTTGCTGGAAAAGACCAAAAGTTCTTCGAGCGCGGAATTATGCAGCTGCCCGAAAGATGGTCATTAGTGGTCGAACAAAACGGCCAATACATAATTGATTAATTATAAGTCCTGATATAAATCTTTGAAAATATTGAAAAAAAACGACATGACTTTCTTGCCAACCCAATAATATTAAATATCTAGCCCTTTCTCTGATTTTCTGTAAAATATGGAAATACCCAATTAAGTTGTTTATGTGTAAATTTTGTATTAAAAATGTCCTATTCTTTTGACATTATACCAATATTATATTACCAATATACCATTATTAACAATATTCGAAAACTGAATAATAAGTTAAAAATTCCAAATAATTATCTCACTCACTAACTATTTACTTCATTTTCATTTTGCCACTTTGCAGCTTGGGTTAAAATGCCGCTGGCGTTGCAGGAGTTGCAGCCCGCCTCCGCCGCCACGCCCCCGCCCCACTAGAGACTGAGCCCATTCCTTGTGGGAGGCGGGGCAGACGACGGCGTCAACGGGACGGGACAGAACACACCACACAGGATGGCGCAACCATCGCCGCCATTGGGCGACGCGGCAACATCTGTGGCAACATCAGTGGCAACATCTGTGGCAACTCCAACGGCAAACGTAACGGGCGCGGCGACGGAAGCACCCGCCGCACTTTCCACATCAACGGCTGCCACATCCGCATCCGCATCCGCATCTGTATCCGCAACTGCATCTGCATCTGCATCCGCAACGGCGAACGCAACGGCATCTACAGGAGCCTCTTGGATGCCGCAGCAACACCACCAGCAGCAACACCACCAGCAGCAGCAGCAACACCAGCAGCAGCAGGAGCAGCAGCACCACCAACAACAACACCATTTGGTCGGAGGATCGGATGCGGGGAGTCCGACGAACGGCAGCGATCCGCCGGCGGAGACCGTTGGCGGCCCCACAATGTCCGCCGGCTTCCTGCCGCTCTACGACGACGAAGACGAGGATGTGGAAACTTCGGCGGCGGCATCAGCGGTGGATCAGGTGCATCAGGTGGATCAGGTGGAGCCGGAGGAGATGGAGGTGGAGGAGGAGGAGGACGACGGCTATGCGCTGATCGACGACATCAGCGATTGGCTGTTGGGTGCCAATGGTGATGGTGATATTGGTGGTGGTGATGTAAATACCACCGCCAGCACCACCAACCCGCTCGCCTCCATTTCGAGTGCGGCGGCCAACGAGACGCTCAACTGGCTGGAGGTGATCAACACCACGCTTCCGAATCGCCATGGCGGCTTCATCATCAGCAACTCCAGTGCGGATGAGGTGGCGACCACGGCGACGGGTCACGCGGCGGACTTGGAGGACCTGGAGGAGCGGGGGGAGCGGGGCCGGTACACGCTGCGCAGCTTCGTCGAACAGCAGCTGGCTGGAGGCGGTGGCCAAGTGGGCGGTGCGGGGGGCGTGAACATTGGCGGCGGTGGCGGAGGCGATGCTGGCATCGCGCTCATCGACAGCGGCGAGGAGGCGGCGCTGGACAACGTGGCGGATGCGGAAACGGACTACGGACTGCTCGGCGGCTTCGGGGATGCCGAACTGCTGGCGCGTACCGCTTCGGCGGCCCGCGAAACGCTCACCAATCGAACGGCGAATAGCTACGATGGCGGAGGAGGAGGAGGAGGAGGAGCAGCAGGAGGAGGATTAGGAGGAGGTGGAGCAGGAGGAGCAGGGGGAATCGGATCTGGGGGCAGCACGTTCATGCTGCTGCTCGAAAACTTTAACGATTATTTTCCCAATTACAATGGGAGTGCGGTTTCGGGAACAACAACACTTTCGCCAAGTGCTGCCATTGTGGGCGGTAGGGGCGGGGCCACTGGGGGTCTGCTCCTCGAGCAGAACCTAACGGGACTCTACCTGGACACCTACCGGCTGAACTGCACCAACGAGACACTCAACCTGACCGACTCCTGCGCCGAACTGCGAGTGGGTGAGTATAAGCCAAAAAGTAAAAAAAAAAAAAAAATAATAAGGATTAAGGAAATGAAATTAAAATTAAATTAACAATTTCACAGATGATTTATCTAAATATTGTCTTCAGTTTTTTAAAGTTATTTTGATATGAAAAAAAAGTTTAATATTTGAAACCTTTCATAATCTTTTCACTCTTCGAGTAAGAGTTTTGAATGCCAACTTAATGCTTGAAATATTGGTCGAGTTACGTTTTCCACTTTATTATCTCAAATTGCATTTCATTTTAAATTGGAAATGCTTCCTTCAATAATTAGTAATTATCAATTGCAAAAGCCGTTTTCAATCAATCGCCAATAAACACAATCAAATGAATAATAGCTGGCAAGATAATTTTATCTCAGCCAAAGCTTGTATCAATAAGCTATTAAAATACGAATTCACTCATTTAAAATAGCTTAAGGCACTGCTATTATTTCATCCGCAGCTGTGGGCAAATACCACATGCAGATAAACAAAATAATAAAACGAAAGCCGTGTCCTTAAATCCGCACTTGTATTTGCCATCTTGCTTAAATGAACTGTTAAGTCGCTTGTCAGCCGCATTTTCATTAAATAGCTACGAATTTATAATTGACTTAACGTAACGCACAGGCCGAGCTTTTCATGAAATTATTCAGCAAAATAAACGGCAGATAGGGGAATTAAGTTTGCGACAGCCTGCGGATGAAAAAAAAAAAAAAAAAGGATAAGCAAGGACACACAGAACAGAACAGAGAATACAAACTGCAAACTGGCAAACTGGCAAGCTGGCAAACTGAATCCTGGCTACTTTTATCTCTCCCTTTTCAGTCGACCACAACTACTGGGCGCTCATCCTGATTCTGTTCCCCATCCTGACCCTCTTCGGCAACATCCTGGTCATCCTGTCCGTCTGCCGCGAGCGTTCCCTGCAAACAGTCACGAATTATTTTATAGTCTCGTTGGCCATCGCCGATCTCCTGGTCGCCGTGGTCGTGATGCCATTTGCTGTCTATTTTCTGGTAAGTTAACGCCACTAACTCCACTATTATTCCTATTACTCCAATACATACTATACACTTGTATATACACACATACCATATATATTGGAGGTATTCTTTATGGTTTTTGCTGGTGTACAACAAGTTTATTGGCGAGAAAAGCGACGGGTGTCGAAATCGAAATGGCCGAATGCAAAATGGCCAGCCATTTCCGTTTAATTTTATCAAGTGTCGGGCCATATAATAAATAAACACGCTCATAAATACCAATCAGGGTGCTCCGCCAGTCCCGACTTTCGGGGTCAAGAGCCACGAGGGGCGTAGCTTTTAAGTAAATTGAGGCCATTCAAGCAATAACATTCAATTTTTGGCGATGCCAGCATATAAATCAATGTGTTCCCCGAGCCACGGTTTGCCGCTGAGAAAGCGAAACCGAAAAGGGAGCTCAAACTGTTCGAAGTTGCCCTCCAAAAAAAAAAGACAGCACTTAAAGAAAAAATTTAAAGAAAGAAAGCTTAGAAACTGATAACTATTTAGTCCAGATTTGGAACATACAAATAATCCAAATTAAAACTGAATTAAAAGTTTAATCATTAAAGAAAGCTCGAAAGTAACTAATAAAAAAACAATATTATTCAATTATTATTACCTCATTGCACAATTAATTGTTTTAATTTAATAATGGCTCAAGGTGAAATTAAAAGGATGGAACTGCAGCATTGATTATATTTATATCATAGAACAATAACAAACCTTTTCTTTACGTATCCAACATTAATCTCAAACTTACTGCAACAAGAAATATATATATATATTGTCAACACTATAGATTTATGCATATTTACTGAATCAGTCACCGATTTGTTGGGCAAGTGATTGCTGAAGGCTCTTGAAATTCTGCGACTGTAAGTTGGTCGCCCGTCTTAGTCGAGTTGCCTTTGACTTAAGCCGACGTGGCTGTCATTCCGTATGATTGATTGTTCGATTGACTGACTCACTGACTGACACTCTGTCTAGCCAACTGCCCTCGCCCGCTGAGAGTGGTCTTCTCCAGGACTAAAAGGACGACCAGGTCGAAGGCAAGAAGGACGGAATGCCCCACGAACTCACTGACTGACTGACTGACTGACAGATTGATGGAAGTGCCTCGGCCCGGCTGTGTCTCATCCCCTTTGACTCGTTTCCGGACTTGTCCACTCTGGTGTCTCATCAGCATTCGGATTGCGGTCCGGCCGGACTTTGCGTAATATATAATGGCCAACTTTTGCAGAAAGTCCGGATTTGCCCTTCAAAAAAGCCCGTATTTTAATCATAGCAAGGGAAATGAATGTCCGAATATCGAATCCCATATATTTTTAAGTTTGTAAATAAATTCCCAATCAAATAACAAGTTTAAAAAACAACAATTTTTTTTTTTTTTTTTTTTTTTGTTAAAAATTATCATTTTTGGCTGTTAGATATATGGAACATAACAGTCAAAAATTTAACTGTGAGATATACATATATTTTAACCAAGTTACAGAGAAATAAAATAGAAGAAACAATTTAATTTTTAACAAAACTCCGAAATATTTTTTGTTTAAAAGTTAAAGCCAGCCCCTAATTTTGATTCAGTATTTTTGGTAGTATAAAAAGCTCTTCTCAAAAGCCCCCAATCCTAGGTCCAGTATTTCTTAATTGGTTGCAAGCCGCGCTTGTCATGGCTGCCAGAATTAATTGCATGTTTATTTATACCAAATTTGCGTTGCAATATTAAAAACCCTTGCAAGTCAAATGGAATTAACAACAGTCACACTCAGTGACATGGGGAGGGGGTGGGAATAAGGGGGAAAAGGGGGTTTTTGGGGGAGTGGTTGGCATTGCACAATAACGAATGTGCAAACTTGTCACACAAATGGGAACAAGAAACAACATGCCAGCATAATTGAATGTTTGTTTAAACATTTATTTTTGCCCTCTCCGTTGCGCTTGTTTCCTCCAGCTGATGAAGATTGACTGACCGTTGGAATATGGTAAAAATAATTAATAGAAATCGTATACCATAAAATGGGGAAGTCCAATGAATCAGCATAAATATTCTTGTGAACTTTAACCTTTAAAAAAAAATAATAGTAACTGGAATAACTTGTTTGTTACCTTATCTTCCGAAATAATATGCCAACAAGCTTGTCCCTTCCGTAACTTCTGGTTTTATTTATTGTTTAAAGTATACAGTAAACAAACAAAAAAAAGATTGAGATCTTGGGCTCGTCCGGGAGTTGAACCCGGGACCTCTCGCACCCGAAGCGAGAATCATACCCCCTAGACCAACGAGCCGCTTGAAGGATGGCCGGCCAAAATGACCTCAAAAAAGAGGGAGAGGGGGACAGAGAATTTGGCAAGACAGAGATAGCAATAGATAGATTTGATTGGCAATGGTCGTGATTTGTTTCCCGCTTTTGGCATTCAGCATTCGGCATTCCAATTTCCAAGGCCCCATCGAATCAGGCAAATCAAATCGATGCGGATTAAATGCCGTTTGTGTATTAAGCAGCAAATTAAAGGCCGACTGCTTCTGGCCTTTTGTTGTTGACTTTCTAATGACGCACACGCCCACTGAAAATCACAGCAAATTAACTGGTCATTAAGTGCACCCCAAAACCCCCACACACACCACACCACTCCACACCCAACACCCAACACCCACCTGTGTGCAGGTGTCGGCCTTTAATTACCCGCCCACCACACACACACACATACACACGCCCACTTGTCAGCAGTCGATGAGATGAAACGAGATGAATTGAGTTGAGATTGATTTGGAACCCGAGATTTTGCACAAATCCGATCGTTCTGTCTCTTTCTTTCCGGCGCGATCTGTCTCTTTCTAAATCAAGCAGACCTTAAACTTTCCTCTTCTTTTCACGAAAGAATAGCTAAATAGATCACCTGGAAAACAAATTTCTAGAGCTCTCAATTATTACACTTTAAACTCTACCCAAATGGTTTTTCTTTTTTATTTTCTTCTTTTCTTTAACATGAAAAACTTTTTCTATTGCAGTATCGTCAAACTTTTCCACAGTGAACCCAAAATAAAAAGCCTACTTTTTGGCGGTGTTAATGTTTTAGGTTTCAAGCCAGATTCATAAAAATCCAATTCAATATTGAACAGAAGGTTGAAAATGTTGTTAACAATATTAGTTAAAGGTTTATAAATACACTTATTTTAAGTTCTTGAAAATATCTCTGATCTTGAATTGGTAAATTATCTGCAGAAGTTCCACCACCAAATCACTAAGTATTATTAAACTGAAGTAGTGTCGCTTTCCGAGGAATACACACAACCACACACACCTCACACACTCGCAGTGATATGCGCACACACTCGTACTCACACCCACACCCACACCCACACACACACTCTCACTCACACTCGCACGCGGACACACATGAAAATTGATTTAGTTAAGAGGATTTGCGTCAACAACAGCACAATAAGTGGGCAGTAACACGGTCCAGTGCGATGTGTTGGGGAAATGGGAAATGGGAAATGCGAGTGGGTCAACAGAGGGCTACAGAATGGGTGGATGGGTGGTAGGTGGGTGGGTGGATGGAACCGATGATTGGGTGGATACTGGAGATTGCTGGCCGAAGGTAAGAAAGATTGCGAGCTCTCCGCTCGCTTTGTGTGCGCTGGCATTTGTGCCGGATAGCACTTAACTCATAAAAATGTGCGCAACAAAGGTTGAGGTATCCACCCCATGGCACACCCTGCTCCCCCCCAGCACCACCCACTAGGAGCTCCCGGCCAAAAAAAAAAAAAAAAAACAAAATAGGAAAACAGAAAACGGTGAAGCAACAAGAGATCCCGGGGCGAAACGAACGAGATGCCAACAATGGAGAATTATTGCTTATGACACAAGCCAGCGGACAAACAAGCCGCCAGTCGGGGGGCGTACAATCCTGTCAGTCCTTTCAGCGGTGGGCGTGGCACAAACACACCAGCACACACGCAGTGAAACCTACACACATGTACACATGGATCACACCCATTTGGAAGCTGATGTTCTTTGGGGTACATGGCTCGTTTTAACTCGCGGCTTAAACAAATACACAAACATGCTGGCCTGGCCAACACACTACTACTACCACACGTGCCCGTGTCTGTGGGCCAGTGCTTTTCTATTTTAAGTGGTTGTATATGTCAGTTGAAAGCTTTTGTTGACATTCAAGTGGTCATTGAAAGTGTAAAAGCGTGCACACTGGACTGAATGGTCGGTTCGTTGGAAGGGGGAGTGTAGGGGGTGGAAGAGGGTGGTGGAAGGGGGGGAGCTGAGGGAGCTAGATGAAAGAAAACACCATCAAAAAAAACAGTGATCAACTAAGTTTATTTCACTGCCAAATGGAAGTCACAGAAAAACGAAGAAAAAACGATCTTGCCAAAAGGAGTTCACTCCATTTTTAACTATTCAAATAACGAATTAAATTGTACATTTTATACATTTGCTATTACATTGGTTAATACATATATAGAGCAAATATATATAAACATGCTACTTTAAAAATTATGTTCTTACTAATCATTTAAAAAAGATCAGCTTTTATTTTTAAGAATCCATCCGTTAATTTTATGCTCACAAAGCTAGGCTTATATACTTTTTTTCGGATCGGGAATTAATTAACCACTAACCTGATATTTTTCCCTGTGTGGAATCCTAGGATGTTGCTCCTTGTTCGGAGCACTAATCTTATCAGAGTTGTGTTTGCCATCCGTCTGAGAATGGGTGGACTTCCCCGTGGAAGTTTCCTTCGCCAGTGTTTCCTTTACCCGTTTTCCCGCCGTTGTTAATTGCTTTTGTATGCAGCTCGGGAAACTGACTTTCGGAGAAATGGAACAGGACGAGTGGGATTAGGTGGATGGCAGGATAGCAGGATAGCAGGATAGGTGGAGCAGTGGAACAGTGTAGCCATGGCCAAAGAATAAAACCGGGCATCCCTATGAGCGATTGCGAGCAGTAGCCGTAATTCTCCACTCGGGCTTA